TAGAGCTCATCTGGTTTGCAGCCTTCGAACAGGTGTCTGCCCAGTTAGCATCGGAAAGTTGTGCGGAGTATGCGGCCACCTCTGCAGTGAGCGCCTCAATGCGAGCGCGAAGTTTCCGATTAATTTTGTTGCGTTTCCAGCGCCTTATGAGCCCGCGGCGAGCGTGCCAAAGATGTAGGAGGTGTGGATCGATTGCAGGAGTCAAATTAGAGGTTGCAAGGGTGCGAGTGTTCGCTTGTTTCATATGAAGAGCGTATGATGCCCACGCTGCATATTCGGTCGAGGAGAGGCCGGCGGGGAATGGTTGCACTCTGAACTGAGTCCAATCGGTGAGACGGGCTTGGCCCCAGTGTTGGCGCATTTTCTGCCGCGGTGTGAACGAAATGCGGAGTAAAAAGTGATCGCTGCCTAGGTTTTCGCCTAAATTTTCCCATGTAGCATCGCGGATGTGACGGGTGAGGGAGAGGTCGGGGCATGTGTCTCGCGTGACCGAGTTGCCCGAACGTGTGGGTTGTGCCGGATCGGTAAGAAGCGTCAGGCTCAGCGAGGAAATGAGCTCCTTGAGCTCTCTGCCCCGGGCCTTCTCGTAGTGGTAACCCCAGTGAGGGCTGGGGGCATTAAAGTCCCCGACAATCACCAGTGGTTGTCGGGCCGCTATACGCAGTGCCCGATGGAAGAGATGCGCAAACGAAGCCCTCGCAAGGCGAGGGGGACAGTAAACGTTTAAGATATGTATTGATGGTTGGCCCCTCCGCTGAGACAGCACTGATATCATGCAGTAGTCGTAAGGAGGATCCAGATCGAGGTCGATCTGTATCGCCGTGTAAGCTTTATGCACGAGGAGGCATGTGGTGGTGCCGCCTACATAGGAGCAGTATCCAGAAAGGGATGGAGCAGGGCCAGATTCTCGGAGCGCCAAGACGGCCGGCTGAGAGCCAAGTGAGCTGAGGAAAAGGGAAAGATGTGAACGCTTTCGCCTGTTCCCGAAGCCTCCAGGGTTCCACTGTATGATCTCGAATTTAGACGCAATGTTTGAACGGGACGTACGATTGGTAGCCATCGTGACTGTCCTAGGTTTTATATTTGGTCCTCCATGTCCTGCTCGGAATCCTCAGAGGCAGGGAGGGGCACGGAGGCCGGATTGTCCGACGGCGGGGTGGTGGTAGCCACCTTACGACGACGCCGTGGACCTGTACCCTCACTGCTCACCGAGCAGGAGCGGGAACGCGATGCCTTGGGTTGAAACTGGGTGATTGCCCAGGCTTGAATAGCCTCGGTAACCTCTACTACTATGCGTTGGACCGAGAAGCTGGTGAGGAGGTGATTAATCGAAGCTTCGACGCGCGTGAGGCGTTCCTCTACGCGCGGGGTGTGCTCTTCGCTAGGGAGAGTTTGGTTAGCGGGCAAGAGAACCTGAGGTGCCCCAGAAGCCTCAAGAGCTTCTGGAGTAGATGTGGCACCGGTTCCGAGTGCTGGAGTACACATGGCTGCTTGAACCGGCGGTTTAATGGGAGTGGGCTCAGCGCGAGGACTAAGCTTGGACGTAGCTGGCGTAGCCGCCTGGACAGAGGAGGCAATACCGGATGGCCTTGCAGTACACTGTTGTTGGGGTTGAAGTCGCTTATTTAAGAGTTCGAGTTGTTTAGTTAAAAGAGAATTTTGCTTTTGAAGTGCCGCAACTTGCTGGCGAAGGGCCGCAAGTTCGGGAGAAGGAGGATCGACAGAAGGGGGTGAGAGAGGCTTAGAAGCAGCTTTCCCTGCCCAACTGCTCACCTGAGGTACCGCCGCTGGTGCTTCGAGCGGTGGGAATGCTTGAGAGTCGGCGTGGAGTGGTGGAGCCGAATGATGCAGGTTTGTGCTGCTGTCTGGCTGTGACGAACATGAGGTGGTCCCTCGAGGAGATGTTGAGGGCTGCTTGCGTTTCCGATATTTTCGGTATTTTGCCGTGCAGCCACTGGTCCCAGTCTCATGGGCGCCGTGGCAGAGGAGGCACTTGGGGTGGCAGTCGTGGGCATTGAGACCTGCAGGTGCGGGGGTTCCACATTTGGCACACTGGGTTGGAGCGGCGTGAGGGCACTGAGGTGGTCGATGACCGATGGTACCGCACTTGGTGCATACAGGGACCGTTTTCTTGTAGGCGCGGATATACGTCGCCACGCAGTGGTAGAAGAGGAAGCGGGGTAACTTCGTGCCCTCGAAAGTCACCACCGCCGCCGCGGAATCTCCGAGTTTGCGGACCGCAAGGATAGTACCTTGAGGCCAATACAGTTCAGACTTTATCTTTTCCGGGCTTTCAGCAGGGTTTACATTGATGACGCCCTTGCATGTATCCCCTGGTGCCTTGGCGTGGCCTCGAACGGGCAGCTGCTGATCCCCCACTTGCAGCTGGAAGTCCCCGAGGAGTCGCTGTGCCATAGGCAAAATGGTGGTGCTACAGACCAAGATGTTCTGTTCCCAGATTGGCCACACTTGAATTTGCGTGGTAGTCCGGTCGCCGAGGTAGCTGCGGATGGCGTCGCCCGCGCGATCGGCCGGGACAAATGTGCGTAGCTCGCAGGGAACGCGAGGTTTAACTACTACGATGTAGTCGTCGCGAGAGAGGCGAGGAGTTTGATGCGGACGCCACTTGCGTTGCTTCGCTGGCTGCGAGGACGGAGCAGAGGTAGGCACACCGCCGGAGGGATGGCGCGCCGGCGTTCCTTGCAAGGCTGGGGAATGGTGGCCGGCCGTGGCGTCTCGTTGTTGTTGAGACGCAGGCTTCGATTTCGCTTGCTTGCGTTGCCACAGTTTCACCATGTCGTCGAGGTATTCATCTTCTGATGGCATAGTGTTTTCGGAGGATGAAATCTCCATGGACAGCATTTGGCTTGAGGTAGGATCATAGCCCGTAACCACGTTAGCGGCCGCCATCGCTGGGCTGAGAGCCCTTAGCGAGGCGGCGTTGTAGCCGGGAGTGAAGGACGTCCCTCAAGTTGTCAAAACTGGACCCACCTGGACGAAGGTGTTGTCTAGGCGAAGCGGAGAACTTGGCGGTGACTATAAATCCAAGTTTCAGGGGTACCAAGGTGGATGTCCGCAGAAATAGCAGAAAATCTACGGAGGCGATGTGGAGTGCGTCCGTCACCATCGAGCGCTCGCAGCGCCCCCCCCCCCTATTCGGTAGAGCGTCGCGCTGCGGCCCGCCAAGTCCTTTTTCTTTTAAAGATAGAAGACTGCGGACGCCGCCGACGGCGGTGGATGGTTTGGGGTCGCTTATAAAGTGTATTCACACTTAAAAAGGTCACAGCTTTGCCGCAAAGACGAAGCAATGAACGCGATAGCACCAGTTTAGAAGGTCACGCGAATAATGGCAAGCATATCGAAACGTGCCCCGCGTTTCTCACGCAAAAATGACGCACGAAACGTACTCACAGCTACAGATGAACGCGAATGAGCGTCTCAGTGGTTACTTCGCTGTGTCCGAAAAGTGCGCATTTTTCGCGAACGGAAACTATGCAACGAGTGCAGTGAACTTTGTGCGCCCGGTAACTACAACATAATGGTTCCGGTGAAAGCCCAAGGCGTATGATTCTCCCTTCCGCGAGATAAGTGAGCGAACGAGGGAGGGACTCCTCTCCGCGGGGCAAAGTACGCGTGGGAGATGAGAGCGCGCGCCGCCGCGTCGTGACGATCTGGCGAGGCGCGCTCACTGCGCCATCTCGCTAATAATTCTAAAAAACATGATAGGTGCCCCGGAGATGGGCGCTGCCAGCGATAAGTGGTAGATGTAAATGGCTTGCCGCTTGAACACTGAAGGAGGTGCTGCTTTGTGGCTCAGTGGCTAATTCCTCGCACTCGCAATTTACAGGTCGGACGTTCGATTCCGTGTGCCAGTCTTTTTCTGGATCATTTTTTTTTCTTTTTTGCGGTTTTCGTATACATAGATGCGTATTCGTATACGGTGAATGACGGCGACGCCAACGTCGATGCCGGCGGCACAATCCAGCTGAGCGTGACCATATCATTGCTATTGCAACAAAATGGCAAACCAGGACAAGTAATTGACGGTTGGCGCACAGTTTATCTGAAACATCAAGAACCAAGCAGCGCAAAAATGAAGAAAAACCAACAACCTAAGTGCAAAAGAAAAAAAAAGGTTTGTAAGCAGGCGCCGCCTATGCTAAAAAAATGTAACCAGTGATTAAAAAAACGAAAGTGTGTGACGATAAGCTTTGTGATAAAAGGGGGGCTTCAAGGTCACTAATGTTCTTGTCAAATTACTTCAAAAAAATAAGTTCGAAAGAGTTCCGGCAAATAATAAGTCTATATCTAACTGACCAGGTATGCGTTTATCGCTAATGTGAGCACGCCCGCTTATTTGGTGAACGTGCAGTGTCTGAAAAAAAAATGGTGACGGATGCATGAAAAACAACACGGAAACTATAAGATGTAAATGGCAGACCTTCCACAGTGGTCCATAGTAGCTAAGGCACTTGTCTGCTTGCGCACAGGTCGCGGGATGGAATCCCAGCCGCGGTGGTTGCAATTTCGGTATAGACGAAAATGCTTGAAGCCCGTTTGCTTAAACTTATGTGCAGGTTAAAAGGCCTCAGGTGATCTAAATTTACGCAGCCCTCCACTGCGGCGTCTCTCATAATCATGTGGTGCGCATGGTTTTGAGACGTTAAACCACCACAACAATTATTATTAAGATGACATGGGTGCACGCAGCGTATGCGGTGCGGGTGTTTGATGCATAACCATTTGCTGTGTAGAATAAGGTGTTGTTTCTTGCCTAACCGTTGCCGTGGCCTACGTCAAGCTCTTCAACATGGATAAGTGCATACAACTTCGTACGACAGTAATAGCTGTACTGTATATTGTTTTGACTCTTCTCAAAGCGTGTGTCTCCTCGAAGTTTGACTCTCCACAAGACTGTGCGCTGCTCAAGTTTGAATCGCAGCATCCTTTGATGGAATGATAGTTGACGGTTGCTTTCACTTTCTCATTTTTTTTTCTAGGCCGACAACAATGACGCCGTCCTAAGCAGTGTGGCCAAGAAACGGGTAAGAGTTTGCGTTACTTTAGAGTCTGACTCGTCAAATTGTATGGCTTTCACAAACGTAATCGTAAGGATTTATAACGTTAATTCGGCTGTACTTAACGATGCTATACAAAGAAGAACACCATGTCAGTCTGTTCGTCTTTATTTCGTTGTTATTGTCACTGGCGTAGTTAGGGGAAATGAGGTGGACCCCCCTTTTTCTAAACTTTCGCTTTAGCTCGTGTATACAGACGCACGCATACAAACACACGCTCTAACATGCTTAAATGATAATTACAACGCCACTGCTCCTCTATAAAAGATCTGGCTATGCCCCGAGTTATTTACATGTATGGCCACGCGTCTCTCTACTATAAATCTCTTGAGCGCTGCTGCAGGAATCCAACAAACAATTAGGCTACGGAAATCATAGGGAAGAATAATCGTGGTCTTTGACGGTAGTGTAGTGATGCGGACGGAAAAAGATTATTCTTAACCACAACCTCACACCATCTGTGTGACGCGAACGATCCTATATTTTCACGTAGCTGTTCTACGTAATACGTTTTGGTGGCGGTTTCAGTGGATTTAGGTCGGTTTTAGCAAGCTATCGTGTTTTCGTGCTACACTGCACCTTCAAAGGGAAAAAAAACGGGATGAAGTGGATTGAAAATCGTGAGCTCCTAGTAGCGTTTATTTCATGTATGCGCATGATGTACTGTAAGAGTAGTATCTAGCGAATGACAAAATTACTTGAAGCGTATAAAAGTTCTTTTGAACTGTTTATGCTGATTTGTTTTTATTCTTTTACAAGGGATCTATTTAAGCGTGGTGGAATATGTGGGACGGTGTTTCAACTGTACGCTCAGCAGCATAAGTTTAAACAACGTGAAATTCCAGGAAGCTGTATATTTTTTCGCTTAGTCTGAGAACATCGCCTCTAACTCAATACTCCAACCTGCAGTCAATGCTGCAACCTGTAGTCTCCAGCTAGATATCAGAAGCACTACTCTCTAATACAGCAGAAATTAGCATTTGTTGCGATGCTATAACGTCCCGTAAACTTTTGCTCCTGGGTCGTACATCAAGGACTTCCATGCATCGATTCGCCTGTTTTCTTCTCACAATAAAGCGGGGAATGATCAGCTATGAAACCGAAAATGGAGCTTCAAGATGAGGAAAAAAAACTACAAATGCATGTCTCGCTCGACATAACGCTCAAGCAGACAGATAATCATGGGTGTTGGAGAGATACATCGTGATCGGATCAGGAATGCGTTTGTCCGTGGCATAGTTCCTGCCCCCCCCCCTCTCTCTCTCTCTCTTTTTTGTGAAAATGCCCGGCGCAAAAAAAGACATATAAAAAAAGAAAGTTTGATAACTTAACGGATTTAAAAGACGTGCGCGGAAAGGATACAGTTGGCTGCTGCTCGCAATGAGCACTGGTACCTTTCATTTCTTTTTTGTTTTTGTTTTTGTGACCCGCGTTTTGCCGCCGTCATGTAAGCCTTGTAATCTCTTCGACTCTGACTAATGGGCTCTGGTTGCTTTGGGGCGCTTCGTTCTCACCTTGAACAACGTGACAGCCTGTACACTCCTATGTGAGCTTTCTTTTCTTTTCTTTTACAGGAGACCTTTGACACCCTTTTCGACGTTAACAAACACAACGCCCTCCTTTCTCGAGGTAATCAATTTACATTGCTAGCCACGATAAATTTTTTCAGTTTCAGACGAGTATTACAAGAAAGCACGATTTGCAAGCCCCAAATATTTGAGTGCTTTAATTTTTTGGTACCCACTACGTCGCACTGTCTTAAAGTGAGGCGATTCATTTCTGGTTCGCGCTTAATTTTCGATTGGTTCGGTTTCACTCGACTTAGAAGAGAGAGCAACACGTCTCCTTCATTGACGCTTTGGAATAACTCCGGTCTGACTTTCTTGCAATGAATTCGAGCCTGCTTACAGATAAGTGTGTTCCCAGTAAATTCATTTTAGCTATCTCGTTCCTGTTTTGTAAAGCGGGTCTTGTGTTCTTCTTGCACGCAATGCTTAACGTATACGCATCAGAGTAGAAGAGGCCGGCTTGAAGAATATGCTGTCTAAGTCTGCTCCACCTAATTTCTATTCATTAAATATTATTAGTGCTACTGCGTTTCTTGGCTAATTTGGCGAAAATGCGCACCCGGTTGGGGTCCGCAAAAGCAGTGTGCGGAAAGCGCGTGACTACTCCCACCGGGACTGACAACGGCGCCAACGACTGCCGCAGCAACCACCTGCAGCCGCAACGTAGGAGAGGGGAATCCCCGCGGCAGACTACGCACCACCTCTCAGTAGTCACAACGCAGCCTAAAGAAACGCTTGCGAGTTCTTATCTCGCAAGAATATGCGCAGAGATCCTCTAACTTTATTTGTGGTGCAAGATTTATTACGATGACTTTGGTTCTTCGTAGCTTCTCTGCCCGACTTCGTACAAGGCTGATGATGATTCCTGCATGCGCAGGTGAGCGTCGTCTGAGTCACCAAGCCATGAAGGGCGCCATGATGATCTTTCTGTACCGCGACCAGCCACGCTTCCACCAGCCCTACTACCTGCTCACCCTCCTTATGGACGTCGACTCGCTCCTGACAAAGTGGCGCTGTAAGGGCAAACTTGCTGTCTGTCCTCTTGTGTGTGTGCACACTGTTTTTTCGCCTTGTATGTTGACTTTATTTTAGTGCAGCAACATTTTTCTGGATGTTATTTGAACATGTTGTTAAGGGAGGCTCCATGGTCTTTTGGGTAGCATATCGCGAGGGCAAACGCCAGGCGGTGTTGTGCCTCGCCCAAGTTCCACGTGGTCTTCGCGGCCTGCTGGCACCTGGCAGCTGTTGATGAGTCAACCCTGCACCGGGACGGCGACGGACGCGGACAATCTGGAAAAACCACGTCGCCGGCTCCTCTTGACACAAAAGTCGTTGGCCAAGCTTTTGTCAGCCGCCGAGAGCAACACTCCGAAGCAGCGTCGACCCAGCAGCTGTACGGGGTATTCTGCCTTGCTTGAGTCAACCTGGCTGCATCAGGGAGCGACTTTGCGCATGGGATTCCACGTCATCTCACTGTGGTGCCACGCTGGCGCGTGGGGTCTCCCTCACCAAACAGCGAACTGGGCATGTCTTGCCCCTTTCCTAGGTTCAGAGGGAGGCGGTGTTTGGCTTTCCCTCTTCGGGGACGGAGAGGAGGACGACGATCTCATTGGAGTATCCTGCGCATAAATTTTCTTTGCAAGGGATCTTGGGAAGGCGGACGATGTATAAAAACGCTAGCGCAGAGGCGCTCGTGTGTGATTCTCTTTTCATGTTGTACCACGCTACCATGTAAATACTGTATATAAACATTTTTTTCTCCTTCTCCGGCTTCTCTACTCGTCCTCTCCGGGGACTCGGATGGCCCGAGTCCGCACCACGCTACCCAAAGGCGCAACAGTGGCTGGCAGCTTATGGGATTCGCCTGCGTCGGCTGCATCGAAGTGGTGAGTGCCGCGTGTTTGCTCTTCTTTTCGCCAGACTCGTTAGCGCAGATGGTCGGTAACGTGGTAGGGTGATTTTGGTAAATTTTGATTCGCAGACCAAGAATTGGGTGGCTCGTGGGCAAAATTACCTTAGAAGAGAAACGGTGTGCATATCTAAGATGGAGAAGTTTAAGGTCCAAGAACTCCTCGAAATTTGTCAGGAGCTGAATATTTCGGTCGGCTCGGTTAAAAGAAAACAACAAATTTTGGAGCACTTGGGAAAAGAGGAAGTGAGTTTAGAAGAGGCCATTGAGGCCAGAGAAACCATTTTGGCAAAGAAAGAGGAGCGTGAGCGCTTAGCCCGTGAACAAAGAGAGGAGGAAATAAGGAGGGATCGCGAGGATAAAGAACATGAAATCCGTCTGAAAGAACTGGAGCTTCGTATGTCCGTGGGAAATCAAAATTCAGGGGGTGGAGAATCAAAGATAAAGGATCTAATCCACACCTTCAAGGCGGGTGACGACATTGCATTATACCTCGTGCATTTTGAGCGAGCATGCGAAAATGCAGGGTTTAGTAGGGAGACTTGGCCACAAAAACTGATATGCGTACTACCAGGCGAAGTGTCCGATGTTATCGCAAGAACTTAGCTTCTATTAGCGCGGCACATATGAAAAGGAAAGAGGAAAGAATACAGAGACGTCAAGACAGGTAGGCGCTAAACTTCCAACTGTTTATTACATGCCCTTGACACCCATCTTATACATGCGTAGAAACACGACTCATCTTGCACGTGCAAGGGCATGTAATAAACAGTTGGAAGTTTAGCGCCTACCTGTCTTGACGTCTCTGTATTCTTTCCTCTTTCCTTTTCATATGTGCCGCGCTAATAGAAGCTAAGTTCATGGATAACCAACTCGCCCGAGCCACAACACTTATCGCAAGAATGAATAAAGAGGACTCCGAGGTGTATGACAGGGTAAAGGCTGCATTGCTACGAAAATGTCGCCTATCGACAGAGGCTTTCCGCCTGCGGTTCAGGCACTCTAAGAGGGGCAACGAATCTCATTCAGACTATGCCTACCAAATTAGAGCCAACTTTGAAGAGTGGCTCAAAAGCGCGCAAGTCTATGGCAACCATGACAAGGTCATTGAGTTGATGGTACTTGAGCAGTTTTACCGGGGAATTCCCGAGGAGGTAAGGCTTTGGGTGCAGGATAGGATGAAAGACGTAGACATGAACAGGGCAGCAGAACTCGCCGAAGATTACTGCTCACGCCGTAGTCTCCGCAATACACCACGAACTTCGGAAAAAAATGAAAAGGTAGAAAGCTGGTCGGGAAACCAGGGACGCAAGAGGTTTGCAAGAAATAACTGGAAACCCGAAAATTCCAAGTTATTAGACAATCAGCAGGGAAAGGACAGTGAGGGGACTAAGGCGGCACCTTCATCAGGTTCAAAGGCGCCTGGTGACATAGCGCATGCGTTAGAAGCGCGGAAGCCAGTTGTTTGCTACAGCTGCGGAGAAAAGGGCCACATGGCCAGGAGCTGTAAGAGGCACATGGCATTTGCCACAATTCAGGAGTCAGAGGATAGCTTAAAGCTGTTGAAGCCTTACATGAGGACACTCTCAGTGAACGGCCGAATGTGTAGGGTATTGAGGGACTCGGCGGCCACAATGGATGTAGCGCATCCAAGTTGCGTATCTTCCGAAGACTATATAGGAGAGTGTGCCTGGATTCGGCAAGTGGCAGAAAAGCAAAGCGTCTGCCTACCGATAGCGAGGGTTGTAATCGAGGGCCCTTTCGGCCAATTGTGTACGGAAGCAGCAATTTCAGCCAACCTCCCGGAGCACTTCCCTTACCTATTTTCAAATAAGTCTGAGGAAATGTTAAAAACACGTGGAGAATCATTTGCCACCGAAATAGCTTGCATGGCCCTTACCCGTTCGAAGGCGCGCGAGCTGACGCAACAGCTGAGCAGCTCACCCTCTGGGGAACAGACGTCCGAGGGCAGTGTAGGAAAACCTGAGGTAGTTGCGACGGAAAATGAGTCTGCCATGCGAGTTGTCGAGACGGAAACTGGGGCTATGGTCGACAACAGCGAGGAAATATCTCTAACGCCCGAAAACGAGGACTTGGTGACAGGCTCGGTGTTAACACCCGCGTCCACCAGTTGGTGTCAGCTAGCCAGAACCGACCGTGCAACGCTAGTGGTCGATCAAAAGGCGGATCTCGCACTCTCTATGCTGCTAGATGCCATACATAAGGAAGGTAACTCTAGGAAGAACGTTTCGTTCTACACCCAAAACGAGGTGTTGCATCGCAGGTATGAGAACGCTAAAGGGCGGGTCTACAACCAAGTGGTAGTTCCACTAAAATACCGGCGGAACATTCTCGACCTGGCCCACAGCAACGCCTGGGCGGGCCACTTAGGTATAAAGAAAACGAAAGCTAAGCTGGCTCAGGAGTTCTACTGGCCCGGGTGCTGGAAGGATGTAGAGATGTTTGTCCGTGGATGCGACACTTGTCGGCGGATAGGAAAATCAACAGACAAATGGAAGGCACCAATGAAACTAGTGCCAATAGTCACAGAACCCTTCCGTCGGCTCGTGATTGACATCGTGGGGCCTCTGCCTCCATCTAAATCAGGATATCGGTACGTCCTGACCGCGCTGTGCGTTGCCACCAAGTTCCCGGAGGCAATCGCACTGAAAGAGTTGAGTTCAGTATGCGTGGTGGACGCATTGTTGTCTATTTTTTCTCGGGTGGGTTTTCCCTCGGAGATACAGTGTGACAACGGAAGTGTGTTCACAAGCTGCCTTACGACTACATTCCTAGAACGCTGCGGGATAAAAATCGCGCATAGCTCTATTCACCATCCACAGTCGAACCCTGTGGAACGCATGCACTCGGTCATGAAACGCGTTTTGCGAGCTTTGTGCTTTGAGCATAAAAGTGACTGGGAGGGGTGTATACCAGCTGCGATGTTTTCTCTGAGGTCGGCCCCACACGAGAGTACGGGTTTTAGTCCGGCTGAACTTGTCTACGGCAGGAACTTGAGAGGTCCGCTGCACTTAATACGAGAGTCATGGACTGGATATGGGGAGGACCCTAATGTGGTTTCCTATGTACTGGATTTATTGGGGCGACTGGGATGTTGCTCTCCACACGCGAAGTGGTGGAGAGCAACATGCGCGCAGCACAGGCGCTTTCCAAGGCCCGTTACGATAAGTCAGCTCGAAAGCGAGTCTTTAGAGTGGGCGATGAGGTGATGCTGTTGTGCCCTTCAAAAAAAAACAAGCTGGACGTACAATGGGAGGGACCAGCGACAGTGTTGTCAGTGCTTTCAGACACCAACTACGAGGTAAAGTGGGGCCGGAAATGCCCCAAAGTGTATCACAGTAACCTAATGAAACCCTACATGCGACGAAAAGCAGTAGTAAACCTTGCACTCAATGTTCCTGAGGATGAGGGCGCGGAAATCCTTTGTCTTTCCGATGGCACGGTCAGCAGCACATTGTCCGATAGGGTAGACACAGGGAACACCCTAAGTAAGGCTCAAGAGGAAGATTTAGAGCTTTTAGTACAGGAATTCGCTACCGTTTTCTCCGAGAAGCCAGGCAAAACGGATGTGATTAAGCACGACATTGAGCTGACGGTTAACAAGCCGATCAGCTGTAAGCCGTATCGGGTGTCACCTAGACAGAGAGAGATACTAGAGGCCGAAATTCGCCGCATGATCGACCTAGGTGTTATCATCGAAGCAGACAGTGATTTCACCTCGCCTTTGATTTTGGTTGAGATTCCGGGCCGTGATCCAAGGCCATGCGTGGACTATCGCCGCCTGAACTCTGTAACAGTCGACCAGACTTACCCTATTCCTAACATTGAAGAGAGGGTAGAGACAGTGTCTAAGGCGAAATACATTTCTACGTTAGACCTTGTTAGGGGGTATTGGCAGGTCCCTTTGACAGAGCGCGCGAGTCGATACGCTGCTTTTATCTCACCCCTGGGCACTTTTCGTCCTTTGATGATGAGCTTTGGGCTCAAGAACGCGCCGTATTGTTTCAGCCGCCTGATGGATAAGGTTCTCCACGGGCTCGAGAAATTTGCGCTGCCTTACCTAGACGATGTGGCGATATTTTCGG